TCTCTCTCCATCTCCCTCTCCCTCTCCCTCTCCCTCCTTTCTCTCTTAACGTTTAAAAGAGAAGCCAAGGCCCAAAGAGATGAAAAGTAGATGAAAGAGAAGGATCTTTGTACGCCTTCTTCTACAAAAATTAGGTCTTCTCTCTCTCTCTCTATCTTGGACGCCTTCTTCAACAAAAATTGGTCTTTTTCTCTCTCTCTCTCTCTCTCTCTCATTTAAGAACTAGAACCCAAATCCCGAAGAAAGCATTATGCAACTAAAGCCGGCCAAAGAGAGAAAACAATATGGATTGGATGAAATGGCATCGACTTGAGGAAGATGCTTTGGAACAAGGGGTAGATTTTTGAAAGATACGTCCATAAAATTGTTGGGGTTTTATAAATTTTTGGAATGAATCTAAAGCAACGATTGGACAGAGAAGGTGCAGCAGCGGTTAGACACACTGTAAAAAAACAAAAAGTTATCTCGCAATCGTGTACTACTAAAAAAAACAATTAAAATAAAATAATATATATAATAAATCACTTTTTTAATATGAGTACACATAAATAAATAAATAAATATATATATATATATATATATTACACAAAAAATAAGTGTAAGTTTTTATAATATTTTACTCAAATTTTTGGAACCATTTTGTTACAGCCTCTTTTTCATGAACCTCTTTGCAAAAGTGAAGGTGCACCTCTGCATACATATGTCGCCCCATTTGAATAAGTGCAAGTTTTTATAATTTATGTATATCACACTAAAATATACCCTATTTGTTTAGAGATCTGAGTCAAATTTAATGGTGATCCTTTAGAGTCCTACAGGTCTCATAAGATCATTACTCTTCTAATACTCAAAATCTTTCTATTTTTCATGGTCATACATCTCGACATCCAATGGATTTTTGAGCCCGTAGAGAGAGGATGTAACCTTGTATAAACTTTTTCCTTTTTCAATAAGATATCATAATATGTGGTTAACCAACTTTCACAAAGCGTTTTAAACTTTTTATATTTTTATTTAACTTACCGGTTATTCCAATACATTTCTATTGATATATATCTCTCATATTCTAATTGAAGTCTAACTAGTACATCAAAAGATGGGCCCATAGCACTAACCAAAATAATATTCTATGGAATGAGAAGATTCTTGGATGATAGAGAAGATATCATTCAACTATATCCATAAAAATTTATGGAGAAATTTATCAGAATAATGAAATATAGGTAAGATATTAGCCAATTAACAATTTACTTATGTCTTTTCATTTAATTTAAAAATATCCATCAAAATGCACATGACAGGATAGTTTGAAAAGTAAAGCATATCTTGATAAATTATTGAAAAATTAAGTGTACCTCAATAAGCTTCCCAAATTTGACTATATTTTCATTGCACTCAAATATATAAATATTTCATGATCTTGAGCAACTCAAAAAAAATATTCTAACCCTCATGTTCGATAACTCCAAACCGTACCATAAAAATTATATGCTATGAGACTATGAGACTATTTGCCATTAGATTTCAAATTGGATGACTTTTGGGGTGTCACAAAGTTTGAAAGTTCTTTTTTAAACTTTTTAAAATAGTAAATTATTACACACTTATAACCATCCGATTTAAAATCTCATGGATAAAAGTGAAGTTTGATAGTCCTTTTTTGAACTTTCTAGAATAGTAAATTATTGCACACTTATAACCATCTAATTTAAAATCTGATGGATAAGAGTGACTATGACCGCCTTGTGCTGAAAAGTAAATGGTCTCTTAATATCTAAAATATGAACCAAAACCAATATTTTTAAAGAGAGCTCACAACCTTAAACTATCAAAGTAAGACACCTCCAAATTTTATCGTAAGATGTAATTTTGATGTTAAAAATTCTTAGGATGACCCGAAAATCTCCTTTCATCTTTAATTATAAAATTTTAATCTCTATAAATAGTTCAAATGAAAACAATCTAAATAATATGTTGCAAGATGTACTATTTTTGAGATTTTATTTATTTTACAATCTAGATAATATGTTGTAAGATGTATTATTTTTTAGATTATACTTTTTTTATATCCATATATCTCTATGCAAAGATGATAAATTAGATGGTCTTCCAACATCAAAATTAATTTCTTTTTAAGTTCTTATGGGCTTTTGATATGCACCTTGACTCTACTTAGCAAAGATGATCAATTAGATGATTTTCCAACATCAAAATTAATTTTTCTTAAGTTCTTATGGACTTTTGGTGTGCACCTTGATTCTAATATATAAAATGTCTGCCTTTTATGAGGGTTGTGAGGGATGGCTGCCCCAGCCCGGCCTGACCCGGCACTGCCCAAAAAGTAGGGCCTAGAAGTTTGTGGCCCGAGGCTGAGCTAGGGCTAGGGCTGTCCGGATTTGGGCCTACTTGACCCACTTTTTCCCTCTTTTTATTTTTGTTATTTCTTTTTATTTAGTTTTTGGCCTAGACGGGCCGGAACAGGACAGGAACCAAGGCCAAGCCCATTTCCAGTTTTTTTCCTCTTCCGAACCCCTTGGAGTTGGATTTGGGTTTGGGTTTTTGCATGGGTAATTTTTGGCTGTGAGTTTGTCTCTCCAAACCTGGCAATGGCGAAAGGGGGTTTCTCATTTTCTAGGCCCGAAAGTTAGGGTTAGTTCTCTATCCAAATTGGGTTCTCGCAATGGCTCAAGAGGTCCAACCCTCCATGGCCATCTTTCCATCATGTTCTGATGAACCATTAGAAGAAACCTGGTGCGGAAATATACAGTCCATTTTGAGTATCTCAGTAATTGGGGCCTACTTTTTGTCTCTCTCTTCGGGTGACCTAAGATGCCTGGCCCCGCTGGTCATGTTGCCAGGCTTCTCGTTGTTTGGCAACCGACCAGTAAATTGCCCTCCATTATGGTGCAAACACTGCTCAATTTCTTCACATTGAAGGTGGGTGTTTTATAGACCTTCTGGTCATCTCGAATTTCTGATTTTACCTCTGAATTTATATGCTGAAAAACTCACATGAATGATCAGTTCTCAAAGAAAACCATAACCTGTATCTCTAAAGGCTCGCCTCTTTGTTGGGTTCATCTTCTTTTTGCAATCATGGTGGTTAGTGTTCTTCATTTGGGGATAACGAAATTGGAAGATCAATCGAGAGCTACACAAATTCTCTTTGGAAATCTGGCTGTGAATTCCATCCTGATTTTCACTCTTATGATTCTGGGGATACCCAACGGCTTAGCTGATCCAGCCTCTGTTGTCGAGTATTTTCAACACAAATTTCCAGGAAACAGTTTACAGCGTCACAGTTCATCAGAATGTGTGTACAGTCGATGAGCTCATAACCGAGCTTGCGAAGGTTCGGAATGATATCACTTGGTTGCAGGCTCGTTTCGACGTGGCCATGCTCTCAGAAGAGAGATAAATTCTTCTGCATTATTGTGGCGAAGATAGTACAGGTGCAGGTCTAATGGAGTTATCATCTGGAAATTTAATTTGGGTCATACAAGGAATGGGTTTTATGCTTCATGGAAGGAATTAGTGAGGAAGGTGAAGGAAGTTTGGTCTCGGGTTCTTGTTCAATTGAGTTTCACCCAAGAGGAATGACGCGGCCATGCTCTCGGAAGAGAGAGATTCTTCTGCTATGTTATGGAGAAGTTGGTACTGGTGCAGGTCTAATGGAGTTATCATCTGAAAATTTGGGTCATATAAGGAATGGGTTTTTTGCTTCATGGAAGGAATCAGTGAGGAAGGTGAAGGAAGTTTGGGATTGGGTTCTAGCAGTGGCCATTAATTCTAAATCTGATTGCAGAGGTCATCAATATGATTGCAGTGGCCATTAATTCTAAATCTGATTGCAGAGGTTATCAATATGATTGCAGAGGCCATTAATTCTCAATTTGATAGTATCTCAATTGATATCTTAGGTTTGTTGTATGCTTGGTTGTACATAAGCCTAAATGTGGACTCCGAGAAAGGAGCAGTGGTTTAATTGGAATCTATCCAGCGCAGACATACTAGACAAACAGAACAGACAGTCAAACTTGGCATCAGGATAATTATATATGATACAGAGGTATGATTCATGTCAGCGATATCTGTCTTTATTTGAATTTTCAAATGTTTGAACTTTGAATACTGAAATTCTGTTTATATTGGGTTAGTACTAAAATTCAGTTTTTTTTGTCAATATAAAATCCTTATTTTCCGGCTGAAACGTAACCCCAAGATTCTTCACACTACTAAAAAAGAAGTTGGGTCGAGATAAATCCCGGACCACTGGGCCTCTATCCCACCTAAATTAGAGGAATAGATAAGTTTTCCTTATCTTCCGAGCATTTATAATCTTATCGAAATTCACTACCTCAAGGCAATCTAAGTCTTGTTCCTGTATTTTGAAAAGAGATAAAAAAATCCTTTTTTTCCCGTTGAAACGGTAATCCCAAGATTCTTTACACTTTTCTAAAAAAAAAGTAGTTGGCAAAAGATAAATCCCGGATCAAGAGGCAGCTATCCCACCTAAATTAAAGGAATACACAGGAGAAAGGATAAGCTTTCCAGCTTTATAATCTTATCGAAATTCACTGCATCAAGGCAATCTAAGTCTTGTTCCTGTATTTGAAAAGAGATAAAAAAGAGCCTCCCCTTTTCATCTTCTCATCCTCTCTTTTTCAATCCTATATAAGCCCACTGTTTTGTTCTTGTTTTATATATCAAATAGCCTTTTTAACTACTCATCCTTTCTTTTCAATCCTATATAAACCCACTGTTTTGTTCTTGTTTCATATATCAAATAGCTTGCAAGCCATGGCCATGGCCACGGCCACGGCCACATCTATGTTTCTTCCTTTGTTGGGTTGCCTCTTTGTATTTTTTCATGGCTTTGCTGGGGCCTCCCATCTCTTCTATGAAGAGCTCAACACAGTGGAACCCACCTCTGTGAGCGAACAGTATAGAACAGCTTATCACTTTCAGCCTCCAAAGAACTGGATGAATGGTATATACATTTATTGTTTGTATAATCTCTCATATGTTTCTACTATATTTGATTATATTGAATTGATCTCCTCTGATTTTCTGACCTTGATTTGTTTGATATATGTGAATTTCGGGCATTTGGGCATGGATTTGCAGATCCCAATGGTGAGTTTCTCCTTGTTTTTCAGCTCTTTTTTTTAGTTCTAGTCTTTTAATACATTCTTCGTTTTCTCTTTCTCAATGAATGCAATCAAATTCTCTTTCTTTTTCTCAATATCTCCTTTCCCTTGTTCTTCTTTTAATTCTTTGCAATAAGCTATCGATCCTGTTTTGAATTAGAAAAACAGAAAAGGATAATTCAAAGGGAATCCAGGAGAATTCAAAGGGAATCCATTGCTTTTATTGCATTCATCCTCTTTCATACTTACCCCTATTCGGTTTTTCATAAAATAACTCTCCTCCTCTTCGTTTATATCTTATTTTGCTCTCGTCCTTTTATTTCCTTTATTTATTTTTAAATCTAATGGACGATAAAAAATTTCAGGTCCCATGTACTACAATGGACTGTACCACTTGTTCTACCAATACAATCCCTATGGTGCAGTATGGGGAAACATAGTTTGGGCTCATTCAGTCTCGACCGACCTTGTCAATTGGCAGCCTCTCGAGCACGCTATTTACCCTACGGCTCCCTTTGACATAAAGGGCTGTTGGTCTGGTTCAGCCACTATTCTCCCTAACAATAAACCAATTATTCTCTACACAGGCATAGACACACAAGGTCGCCAAGTCCAAAACTTAGCCATGCCCAAGAACCTGTCGGACCCACTTTTGAGAGAGTGGGTCAAGCCGGCTCAGCATAACCCCACTATGGTCCCGAATGGGCTCAATGCTAGCTCCTTTAGAGACCCAACTACGGCTTGGCTTGGGAAAGATGGGCATTGGAGGGTGCTTGTTGGTAACAAGAGGCATAAAAGGGGCATGGCCTTGCTGTACAGAAGCAGGTACTGTTTTTTGAGATTTTAAATTTTTGGATTGATGTTTGTGCCCTTGTTTTTGATATTCCCACAAAAAGGTGTGTGGAATATTAAAATCATTGGAGAATTTCCATAAAACATGATTGTCCCTATTCAAAGTCACTACGTATTTAACATAATATAATTGTTGCCTTATAAAAATAGTTAAAGACATGAGGAAACATGATTATGGCTTAAAATGGCGACTTCATTATCTGACAAATAACAATGGGTCTTATATGAATCATGTAAAGGTGCGTGGAATATTAAAATTATTGGAGAATTTCCATAAAACATGATTGTCCCTATCCAAAGTCACTAATTATTTGACATAATACAATTGTGGCCTTATAAAAATAGTTAAAGACGTGAGGAAACATGACTATGGCTAAAAATGGCTACTTCATTGTCTTACAAATAACTTATATGAATCATGTACACCATGATGTTATGAAATAATTTGTCCTTAATTCCTATTCTTTCTATAGCTGCCATTATATATCTAATAACATAGAGGTTGAATGTTAGATTCATTCTATGGATCATTACTTAGCACATGCATCTTCTTGGGCCTGTGAAGAATCTATGATAAAATATTTTGGGAAAAAGACTTGAAGAACAGTGTCTTGAACTCTTTTCTGTTTCATCCATGGCCAGTTTGTTTTGTTTTCTTCGAGAACTCAAAATCACTTTTTGTTTTAAAATATTTTGCATGGTCTCTTAAATTTTTTCTTCTTCTTCTTTTTCTTTTTTTTGAATGTTTTTTTCCTTATTTTTCTTTCTCACTAAAAAAAAGCTGATTTATAAAATCTTTTTAATTTTTTCTAACCGTCTTTTTCATTGGAGAGCTAAAAGTGATTTGGGCAAAAACAAATCCCCCAAAATCCACCAAAAGGCAGGAGGGTGGATACTTTGCTATTGGTAGAGATAGAAAAATTACTAGTATTGGATAACAATTTATTTTACTGGTAATAGCAGGGACTTTGTGTGGTGGGTAAAGGCTAAGCACCCTCTTCACTCGTCCAAGGACACCGGCATGTGGGAGTGCCCTGATTTCTTCCCAGTTTTAAAGAAAGGCCAATTGGGTATTGATACCTCAGTTAACGGTCCTCACGTCAAGCATGTGTTGAAGGTGAGTTCTCTTTTCCTCTCCTCTGGTAAAGATAGAAATCTTGGTGAGCCAATAAATGAATACAATGTTGGAGTTCTTTTTTTTTTCTTTTCCAAAATTTTACTTATAGCAGACTCAAACTCGAAGTATCATGTTGTTCCATTAGTGTCGCCTTTCGTACAACTCACTCTCTATCTCGAAAGGATAAATAGAGATGAATTGTGCTATATGTGTATGCCAACCCTCTGGGTTGATTTTAACTTTAAGAAAAATATTTATGAATTTGTCAGTCTACCTTGAAAATTAATGACATAGGTAAATCAGCGAATTTTATCTATAGAGTAATTGCTTTTTAAAACTTATTTCACTTTGGGACCTCTTCAATTATTTTCTTAGAAAGTGCTTAAATTGTGCTTGTTATGCTGTTTGCGTGCATTTGGTTGATGTGGTCACTAAAGTTGGTTGATGTGGTCACTAAAGTTGACGTAAGTAAGTACCCTTGTTCCACGAACCTTTTTTTTTGGTAAAATCTTGGAATAAGTGAGGACAATTACATTTTTTTTTGGACTAGGATGATTTAAGTTTAACAAAATGCAACTGCTTGTTCTAGGTTACTAACCTCAAACAAGATCTTTTATTAAGAAAATAGGTTTCAAGTTTGGACCATGGAGCAATTAAGGGTAATTGCATCTTTTGCATAGAGTGACTTCAATGAGTCAAACTACCAAAATTCAGAACCCAAAAAATAGATTTTTTAATGAAAAAACTTGTTCATTAAGGATATTTAAGCATTTAGATCATTTGGCTTGAGTGACTTAGGTAGATCAAATTATCAATATATCATCTATATTTTCAAGGAATAAGCACACTTTGGGTATTTTGTAACATATTCTTGAGATGGCACTTAAATGCTAAAAGAATTAATAAGTTAACCATTTTGTTACTAAATTGTTGATTTAATTATTTTATTGATTTTTTGAAATGACTTGATTATTTTAAACGTATTTTCCCTTTAAGTTTGTTTTTTTTGAGTGAATAAGGTTCTTATGAAGTAAAAAATGGAATAATTATTATTGTTATGAGGTGGGACTTCCCACTTTTTTTCACTTTTGTTAAATAAAATTTTTTATATATTTTTTATTTTCTTTTGAAGCAAAAGAAGTAATGATACTGAAGAGTCTAATAAAACATAGGTAAAAATATTAGGCTTATTTCTTTTTCTGATTTTTTTATTGAATAAATTTGGCTATCCTAGGCAAAAGTTACATTTTTATGACATTTTCTTTTTAAGGTGAGCTTGGATGATTTGAAGCACGAGTACTATACAGTGGGTACCTACTTTCCTAATAAGGATCGCTACATGCCTGATAACACATCTGCTGATGACGGGACTGGTCTCCGTTACGATTATGGAAAGTTTTATGCATCAAAGACCTTCTTTGATGGGCTCCAAAATAGGAGGATTTTGTGGGGTTGGATGAATGAGTCTGATAGCGTCAACGATGATGTTGCCAAAGGCTGGTCTGGTGTTCAGGTACATTAAGTGAAATTTTGGCTAAACATGTTCAACACTTCTTCCTCTCCGTTTTCTTGTTTCGTTTATTTTTCCTGGTTTTGGTTTAACACCAGTAGTATTTGTTTCTTTTGGTTTTCTTCTATTGTCTATTTTTTTTCTCTCATAGATACAACTTAAACTTCATGAAATTTAGAGGCAACATGTAAGATAAGGAAACCTTGGTAGTAGTCTACCACAGAATTTTAGCAACAATCGCTTTCAAATAAATGAATAACAGCACTCTTCTTTTCCTACTAGTATTTATTTCCTAACGTTTGGCCTTTTTTTTTTGTTTTTAACAGGCCATTCCAAGGACCCTTTGGCTAGATAAAAGCGGCAAGCAATTAGTGCAATGGCCGGTTGTGGAGATTGAGAGCTTGCGTGGTAAGAAAGTCGATATCGTCGACAAAGTCCTAGCCAGTGGCTCAGTGGTGGAGGTTCCTAATGTCACAGCTGCTCAGGTTGCTTGCTCTTCTTAAAACTTTTCAGGTTCTTTGTCAGTTATTTTTCTTCTCTCTTTTGTTCTTGGTGGGTAGCTTATTCTCCTTTACACTGGTTAATATTTAATATTGGTTGGTTAAATAATAAGCACTGTGTATTAAAACATATAGTTGAGTGCTTTTCACTTAAGTAGATACTGCTTTCTCATAAAAATACGTTGAGCACTGGTAAAAGCTCACTGTTTTGTTACAAACCAATATAGAAAAATCGATAGTCCTATCAGAGAGAGATTCCTCCACCAAACAAATGCGTCCTCTGTGGCTAATTTTCCATCCATTTCTTTCTGGTTTTTTTGTCTTCTCCCTATTTTAGCAATTACAGATGTGTTATACATGTGTGATTGATAATTCCTCTCTTTCTTCCTTGTTGCTCTTTTATCATTGTTTGTAATAAATCTTGCTAGTTTCCAATAATAAGACAAATAATGTTATCATGGGTTTCCATTAGTTTTTTCTTAATGCCAAAACATCTTAAGCTACTTCTCAAAAAAAAGATTTTCATACTTCTTTGGGAGCATACCGTACATTTATTCCATTGGGTAATTCCAATATAGGAGTAAATTTTAGGACCCAAAATTTGGGGATGTAAACTCTTCAATCAATCATGGAATTATCTTGATAAAAATAAAATAAAATAAAATCAAATTGAACTCTCTGTTTCTGGTGGGCAATAACATACAAATATACACTGTCCAATTTCTGGTGGGCGAGATCTAAGTATCAAATACCCTAAAATTGAATATTTGTTTATTGAACAAATCCTTCCTTTTTGACTGAACAAATCCTTCCTAGGTCTTTTCGCTGGGGGAGTAGATGTACAATATACTTATACGCTTTGTGTTTGGGAAAACTTAATTGCTGGAATGTCTTGTAGGTTGATGTAGAAGTGACCTTTGAGCTTCCTAGCCTTGACCAAGCCGACCGTCTTGACTCAGCGAGCTTGACCTATCCTCAGCTCCTTTGTAGCAAGCTGGGCCACTCTAACACTAAGCAAGAGGGAGGTGGTATTGGACCCTTTGGGTTGCTTGTGTTGGCCTCTAAGGACTACGAAGAGCGAACTGCTGTCTTTTTCCGAATCTTCAAAAAGGCAGAAAACCAACATGTGGTTCTCATGTGCAGCGATCAAAGCCGGTATGTATGCTCCCCTCCCAAACCCAAATAAAATACTCATTTCTACTTTCCTATTAAAGCACTCATTGATAAAATAAAGGCATGGAAATTAAAACTTAATGTAGAACTTGAACAATTTGCCTTTTGCTTTGGGAGTAATTTGATTCAGAACCCATTTTGATGCTTATTTGATGGGCTATTTAAAATGTGAACTTAAAAAAAAAACAGAGAGAGAAGATCCTGAGCTTCGAACATGGTCAATAGTACACATTCATTTGTCGGATTGCACATCAAATGACCATGAAATCATTGATCTTTGTTACAAGGTCACAATTGCTACTAGTCATTTGAGTCAAAGTCAATGAGACAACCACTTGATTTGAAATCTGATGGACGAGATTGATTGTGACCTCCTTGTAAATAATCTCTTTATATACTTTTCTTAAACTGCATCCTCTCAAAGATTGATGATATTATTGTATATTTTTTCCAAACAAAAGAGTTACACCCATGTTTCTCCTCGAACAATAATTTAAAATACCAAGGTACAAGTCATCCTCTCTTTATGTGTTAAGGAAAACTTATCAAAACTACTACACCTAGTAATTGAACTATTTTTCTACCGTATTTTTTGGTGTAGTTTTATTGAGAATGAACTATTCATTGCAAGTAAATGTCCAGAAAGTTATATTGGTTTTGGGTTTTATTGTCAGTAATTAAGTAATGAAATATTGAAAAATAGGTCGTCTCTACAAGAAGATGTGGACAAGACTACATATGGTGGCCTCGTGGATGTGGACTTGGCTCATGGGTCCAAGCCCACGTTATCTCTCCGGACTCTGGTAAAATATCCTTATTCATTTTTTACTCTCATCGTTTGGAGTTTTACTGTGATTTTAATAAGTCTTGGGGAATAATATATAAAAATGTCAAACTGAAAAGAAATCATTAGTGGTATATACTTTCCATTGGATCAAGGGAAAACAAAATAAAAATAAAGGATCTCATACAATGAGATAATTTATCTTTGATGCAAGGCGGTCACAAATCCTTACAACCAGTGAAATTTGATGGTTTTGATTGATCACAAAGTTCAAAATTTTTTTTTTTTGCAACCATTCAATGTCAAAATTAATTTGACTACTTTGTATCAAAGATAAATTGTCTCATTCTATACTTTCTATTAAAATGTTGACCAAGGGGGAACAAGATAATAAATGATGATTTTGAAGGAATCTGGTAGTCAAATATATTAAAATACACTGTGTTGCTCTGAAAGAAAATCAGCCATCCTTTTCCTCTCAAATTTTGGATTTTGGTTAGTAGGTTTGGGCCTAGATGGCCCCGTCTAGTCAGCGTGGCCCTAGAAAACTAGGGCTTGGGTTGCGAAATGTAGCTCAAAGGCTAGACCAGGGCGGAGCAGCAATAGCCTGCATGCAGTGCCTGACCTGGGCTAAGGCCAGTTAGGTTTGGCTCTGTCTGGCATTATATTTCTTTTTTATTTTATTTTATTTGCCTTGGCTCGGCCTGGATGGAGTTAGGGCCAGGGTGGGTCCGGCCCAGGTCCGGCCTATTGCTGGACCAACTTAGGTAAAACAAAAAAAACAAATTTATTTTTTATAATTCATCCATATTTTGAAGGAATCCGGTAATAAAACATACTAAATGATACGCGGAGTGTTGCTCCAAATATAATCTTTAATCGGACGGTGGCAGGTTGATCGTTCGATCGTGGAGAGCTTCGGAGAAGGTGGGAAAACGTGCATAACTTCTAGGGTTTATCCGGTGAAGGCGGTGGGAGAGAATGCCCACCTCTATGCCTTTAATTACGCATCGGCCCCCATCACCATTTCCAAGCTTAGCGCATGGGCCATGAGCAAAGCCAAGATCAATTAATTATTTTACCTTGGAGATTATATATTGAGACAATTTATTTTTAGTATACGGAGGTTCCAATTTTTTGGAGCCATTGGATGGATGTGAAATCCGATAAATAAAAGTGTTTGTCATTAATAACGTTTATTTTGAATTTTATACCTAAACAACAATATATTTTCAATCACTTTATTGTAAATTTAATCGTTAATGATGATTGTGATTTTTTTATATCAAAAGTAAATGGTATTATGAATTTTTTTTAATTATTCATCATAAAAATAAAGTGAAATTAATTTTGTTTTTTTTACCTCCAATTTTAATAATTATTATTACTTTTAACTTGGTGGAGTGTTTGATTCGCCATTTTGAATCCGAATGGATCTTAACCACAATTTGGACGGGAGATCTGAACCATTTGTTGGTGGTGGCGGGGTTGTTGTCTCTTTTGGATTTTTATTTCTTTTTTATAGGATAATTTAATTATTTGTTCAATGAAAACGTGTTGTATGCGTCTCCTAGTCACATGCATCATCTTTAAGATGTGGATATAGAATGGTGGTCCAGGCTCAATGAGCTCTCATAAAAGATCCTAGCCACATGCATCATCTTTAAGATGTGGATATAGTCATCTTTAAGATGTCCATGGATATAGAATGGTGGTCCAGGCTCAGGTCAACCACTGACCTCTCAAAAAAGATCAATTGGTTTTTGGTTAGTTCTGCCATCCCATTCAATGAATCATTATTTTTTTTTGATAGAATCTCTCATTCATTCTCATAGCTCTAGGCCTTGCTTTTGCAATGGAGTTTTTAATTTGTTCTCGAGTCAATCTTCTCAATCTTTATCAACTCAATGATCTTTATTATTTCCCTTAAGAATCAAATTAATCTAATTATTTTATTCAAAAAAGTTAATAAATAATGGTTTAATTTTTTTTCAAAAAATTTTCATTTTTGCTTTTTTAATTTATTTTTATATATTAATAATCTCCATATTAGAGACAATAGAGACAATATGCTTAAAAGCTTTAAGTCCAAAATTTATTTAAAAAAGAGGTCATGGGGCATCATATTTACATAGCATACGAGGACTCATAAAAACAGTGTCCTTGTTTTAAATGGATTCTTTTATGATATGAGGATGAGTGCCTTATCAAGTGTTTGTTGCATTATGAAATTTGGTTTTAGGAAATATTTATGCTATCGTCTTGACCTCTGGATTTCTTTCATGATTATATTTTTAGAAGTATTGAAAATATAAGAATCAGTGGCTGAATGGACAAGGAATTAATTCTGATTCATGTATTCCAAATCGAGGGCGATTTCTGATTCATAAATGTAAAATAAATAAATAATAAAAGAAACTTCAAAACCTAGTGTTTTTAAGTGATTCCGGAGGTCTAACTAGATTGCACCTTATGATTCCAATACAAACTTGGGAATTGGAGCTGGCAATTGCCTTAAAACCAAGTTTAAATGAAAAGGGGCTCTCTAATCCCAGGCAAGAATGTGAGGAAATTACTTAAAGGGTGTGGTTTGTATAGAGCTGAAGCTAAAAGGTGTCGAGAAATATGGTTTTAATATTAGAAATCTTTGTGATAGCCTTGAAATATATTTTCATCTTTAATTACAAAATTTAAAGCTTCAAAAATAGTGTAGATTGAGCATATCTATGAAAACTAGAAAATCTTGAAAATTGACCATCCAAAAATGCGTTACAAGATGCAGTATTTTCAAAACTTGAAATCCAAGATGTACTATTTCCAAAACTTGAAATCCATTTGTTTCGCACGTCCATGCATCTTGATATTGAGTAATATTGAGATGATTAAGTGAGGATATTTGAGCATCAAAACAACCTCTTCTAGTGAAATTTTTGAGGTGGGCTCTAATTTGATTGTTAGAGCCTCGGCTCTATAAAAAAAATTTTCTTATTTCGAACAAATACTGAATATCAGGCCCCTCCAAGGCAGTTTTTGGATGTTTTGAATGTGAAATACATGACTTTAGCCAATATTTGGTATTCCAGTGAGGGTAGTACATGTGCAAAATTCTATAATGACAAACAAAGAAGGGGGGCATTTTGGTTAATGCACCCTAAGTTGTTGATCCTCTCTCAAACTGAATCGTCATCGGGAATTTCTCCACTCTAGGTCTACCTCTCGGCTCACTACTAATTTTCCTTTGGTGCCCAAAAAAAGTGGTTTCATAAAAAACTCGGTGGGGTGGCTGATTCGGTCGCGCACCTGGTCCGGTTGACCTAGTGAACCGGCCGGATCAAATTGGTTTGAACCTAATAGGGGGTCATGTATTACAAGAATAAAGAGGAACACTATTTTTAGAATGGATATAGGGTGCATGACTTTTAAATAAAATTGTTTAAGGTGCCTAACCTGGCAAAGAGAGATGCGTGAAACAAGTACGAGGGAAGGAGATGGAGTGCAAATCAATAAGAGAGATCATTCAGGATTTATCTTGAGTAAATATGTATCATTTTCTTTGATAAAAATAATATCTTCTTTCATCTCATTTATATTATTAAATATAAAAACTATACCCAAGTGTGGAGAGAGAAGAATACCTACATAAAGAGAGAAAATTTAAGGAAAAATATCCTATTGTGTCTCCAAAGAAATAAAAGAATACTATGCAAAGATAGGCTTGGGGAGATGACCAGATATTTAGAATTGAGTTAGACATTTATGGTAATAGATTGATGGAGGTTGAGTTAGAGATCTTAGGTGATAGAGATATTAAACCAGAGAAGAATACCTTAGGGGAACTTTTCCTAAAATTTGCATTTGTGTCTTTATCTTAGGGAAATAAAAGAATATTATTGAAAAAAAAAGCTTGGGGAGATGCCCACGTATTTAGAGTTTGAGTTAGACATCTTAAGAATTCTTTTTTCTTTTTTTTTGGGGTAAGTTAGTTCGTGAAAATGGCCCCTACCCATTTTTTTATTAATAATAGATTGGAAAAGATACAAGTTCAACTGATTACAATCCTATCATAGGGCATTTGTAGAGCATGAAACAATAAGCAATAGAGAAAGAAATCGGGGGGCTTACCCTCCATACAATAGCTTTAGAGTGGGATATAGCTTTCTTTGCAAGAGACTTAACTACCATATTAGCCACATGAAAAGTATGCGTGATCAACCAAGAGAGGAGAGCTTGTGAAGGCAATTAATTGCTACAGTATAAAGCATCCAAGGAGGCTTAAGAGCTTGTGAAGGCAATTAATTGCTACAGTATAAAGCATCCAAGGAGGCTTATGGTGGCTATTTAGGGCATTAACAAGGAGACTTGAATCGCTTTCAATTAGGAGATGAAAACACTTCAATAGAATGGTCAATTCAACACCCATCTCTGGCGCTTGAAACTCGACAACATAATTGGAACCAACACCAATTGGCTTTGCAAAAGTCGCAATAAAATGCCCATTATCATTACATAAGACACCACCACAGCAAGTAGGGCTAGGATTATGAAAAAATCATCATCAATGTAAGCTTAAAGTGGCCAACAGGTGCAGGAGTCCAATATATCTGGATGGTGGTACATGCTCTCTGTTCATGACACTGTATATATTATAGGTCTCTAGAAAGATGAAAGAGTAGATTTGGCATCAGATGAATCGATTGTTACATTCTTCCCATAAGAACCATATGGTGTTGAAGAATGAGGACATCCAAAACATGTCACAGCTCCTCATGTTTGAAACAATATTTAATCCATTTATTAACTATGTGGGGAATGGATTCTTCAAAGAGAAAATTCTTGCTAAACCTTGATGCAATGGACTTTCATAAGATTTGTGAGAAAGTACATTGAAGAACACGTAGACGACCTGTTATCACCGATGATGATAATCTTGGCCGTTTGACCCTTGTTATCACCGAAGATGATAATCTTAGCCGTTTGACTCTTATCACCTCTGACAAGGGTCATCACAAGAGCACTTACCATAGTTAAGTCGTCATAAGAGAGGCTATCCCTCCGGTCCTGACTAGGTCTTGGATGGGAACTCAGTGGTTGGCTGATGGTAGTTCGGGGGCATGTAGCCAAATGACTCTTAGTCAAGTACATAGCATTGGCCAATACGGGGATACAAATTTTCCCTACCATGAAAGAAGTAAGCGAATACATTTGCCCTTGATTCGTTCAAGAGGTGATTGAAGAGAAGAGAGGTGAACTAGTCCCCAATGGATTCGCCATAAGTATTGAGGCGATTTTAAGTTAAAATGTGCAAAGGGCGCAAGACAAACTCAAAAGAACTTCAACAATCACAATGGTAGAGTATATCCATGAACATGGCTTTATTTTATTTCTAGGGATCGAACTGTTCCAAGGTATCCGTAAACACCTTAATGACATTCATTGTCTCATACATTAGGGATGTGCAAAACCTATGTTTAATCAATCATAGATGAATTCATTGGAGAGAGAAATGTAGAATAAAGAACTGGCAAGTAAGTCTTCTTACTATGATTGTTAGTATGAATTTGTTCATATAAACATGCAATGCTAAATACACATAAATATCTAGATGTGCTTGTTATCTTTTTGTGACCATTATCTCTCAATATATCTCTCTTCTTCCCTTGTTTTCTTGTTTTTGATTGAGTTATTTATAGTCGTCAAACACTTCAATAGTGGCTCTCGATCGTGCCCTATAGTTGCGATGCAATGCATGTAGTGGTTTTCATGTCGTATTTTGATGATGACACATGGTTTTGCACGATTGTTATGGATTCTAGAGTGTTCATCTCATATTGAACGTGTTAGAATTATATCCTTTCAAGACCTTAAAGTCCAGTATTTTTAATAGCTTTTGACTTCATTGAGAGTAAAAGATAGACAAGACTCTAGGATCTTGATGCACTGGGACCACGGGTCGTGAAACCTCGATTAAGTCATGAGGAGGATTTAAACATGAGAGGTATCGAGATGGTTGATGTTACCTCTTAGTCAGGGTGGGTTGTTATGTTTGTGCCTCATGATTGAGTGATGGGCCAGGGAATATGATTTATGTATGAGCGTGATGACTAAAATCCATGTACGGAAAGGTTAGATCCAATAGAAGACATTGACCTAAATCCCTGACTCTTAGAACATTCTTGTAGCATGTGTATATACAATCACA